ATTAATTAGGTTAAGGAGAAACGATCTTTCCTTTAATTACCCCGCATTTTCCCGGAATTTCATTACATACTTCGGTGTTTATTGATTTTATCACATGCCTTTCAGTTTATCAATTTTATCACGCACGTGAGAGAAAAACATTCACGCGGCGATGAACGAGGCCCGAGTACGTTTTGGTCGGAGGGAAGGACCGAACGGGTCGAGATTTAAGTTCTGCATTAAGTCCGGTTAGTTCTGCGTTAAGTCTTCAAGCGGGGAAAATGGCAGTGAGTTTTCACTTGCAGCATCAAAGAAGAAGTAACACAATAAGTGCTTCTTCAGTGCTACAAATGGAAGAAATTGGGACCTCTACTCGGTTCGAAGACCCACACCTTTAAATAAAGAAAACGACAATAACATCTCATTTGTAGCATCACAGGAGCACAATAGGAAGGCTCGAAGACTCAATGTAAAAAACTAACTAGACCCGCCTTGACGGTAAAGAATCCAAATTCCAACTGTTCCGATCGAGAACCGAATTTCGTTCGGGAGGGAAACTGCTTCCCAGAAATTCTCTTCTCCGTCCGAGACGCGCCATGTTCATCGTTCATCGTCGCGTCGATTCGGTCAGCTGTTTCCTCAGTACCCGAATTAATCGATTGTCGGAATCTTGTCACACGCCCCGTGTACATTTTTTCGCGAACGACACGGTCGTTCGCGAGCTTCTCATTAATTATCTCGCGCGGCGCAACAGTCTTTTCGTAAACACTCTCCGGAACGTAAACACGCGCGTCAGTGCCTCCTCGGCGCGCGATCGCACGTCGCTCTTCGGCTCTCTCTCTCGTTCCCGTCGACGGGAATTCGAAAGTCGCGAGCCGGCGCCTCGGCATGAAACACTATTTACGACAGCTCTTGGTCCCGGGACCGGTCTGCGGACCTTCCGTATACCCTGGAGGAGGACGGTGCGAAGGCTCGCGACGAGAGGACGCCGACGCCGGACGTCGTGGAGCCGGAGGAGCCCGACGATCCGCAGGAGGATGATCCGTACGAGTACGACGACGACATCAGGCCGGCCGCTGCGTCCAGGGAGCTCGACGACGACGACGACGTGGAATGCCTGTCCTTGTTCGAGGCGGCGAGTTACCTCGTCGCTGGCTCCTCGGTGCCGACCACGCGGGTCAGCGCGCCTTGCTGGGGATGCAAGAGCTGCACTGTCGAGGCCCTGCCGTTGTTCCTCCTCGGCTCGCCGTCGGAGGCGACCTGCACGTGCACCTCTCGTCAGTAATCCTTTTGTCCGCCGCCGGTGCACGCGCGTGTCGTCGTGGCTCTCGTGTTCGCACTGCGTCAGGATCGCGCCTCGTTTCGGCTCCCGGTTCCGAGTGACCGCCGGTTAGCCACTAATCACGGTTAATTTCGTTATCTGCCATCGCTCTCGGCATGACGCGCGCATTGGTGTAATGTGTGACGACGTGACTGCAACCGGAGGATCGGCCGATCGCCGGAATCTCGGCCTACCGCTCGCCCGCGGACGTCTGGATTTATTGCATTCGCGTATTTCACATTGCTGGCAGTTTATTATCATTAAAAGCAATTTATCGGAGGGGAAGTTGGTATTATATAAACATTTACATTTTGCACAATAATTTTTTCAATATATATATATGTGTAGAAAATCGATATTTCATATGAAAAACTTAACGATTACACTCGCCAAAGTGTCATTCAATCGATTCTAGGCTCAAAGTTAGGAAATATTTATTATTTAGGACGTTGTGAAAATGTGGCGATATAATGGTGCTGCCAAAATGCTACTGCATAATAAGACAAAGAGGAATAGGTGTGATGTGGCCCACCATTAAGATAGAAAATTGGTTTTGTTTAAAAAAAACAGTGTTTTGTTGCAAGTTTGAATATTTATTCGAAATAAACTCTTAGAAGGAGTAACGGTGAATATAACCGTGAATTTTTAACGTGGATACTGGCTGCTTCGATATGAAACTTCGAAAAAGAGGCCGTATTAAATCTGTTTAGTGAGAGGCTAATTAGAAGAAAAAGGTCATGCTTTTGTTTAATCTTGCGTAACTCGAGATGTACGGTGGAATAAAACGTTAAGTAACGAACAGAATACTCGTACAACAAATACAAGTGTACATATATTCGTGTGATAAAATATGCCCAAATTTAAGAAGAATAAAGAAATGTATAATTAAATGCTAAAATGTATCTTGAAAACGTTTCGAAACGTTCGAAGATAAAAATACGTTATAACAAGCGCCAGCTATTGTGTATGGACATATTAGCGCTACGACGTAGTAATAACGGGCTACTAAACAAATAATTCTATAAGCAATCACTAGAATTTGCTGTATAACAGCGGAGATATTAAAAGCATTATATTTACAAAAGCTTAATACCACCTTCTTCTCTACTATCACAGTTATTATTATTATTAAAAGCAATTTATTATTATTTAAAATTTACTATCGCTTATATACGTCAAACTTTATCCTCCGAGGGATTTTCTTTATGATAAGAAAGGAGAGAATTCCTTTAGTTACATTTTATTCCTTTTATTTCCGTTTTATTTCCATTTCATTTCCTTTAGTTACATTTTCATTATTAAGATGAGGGATTCCCTTTAAAAATAATAAAGTTTGAGAATCGATTCTCGTTTCACGCTACATTGGCTCGCAAAAGCCTCCTCGATGTTGGATTATTAATTTCAAGTCGACAACGGCCTCCTCTCTTCGCGTTTCGTTGGCGTATCAACGGATTTGCGTTGCCGAATTGCGCGATCGCAGACTTTCTCTCTCGGGCGGACTTTTCGCGGGCGGTATGACGCTTTGCATTCTGATCGCCGATCGTCCTGCGACGCGCTTCAGCGAGCTATGACGAGCGTAGCTACTTTACATAGCACGTGTAAATTTGACCGAGCCAATATTCATCCGGCGCAGTGTGGACGTTTCTAAGTGGCACTCCCGTCACCTGTCGTCTCCGACGACTGTGCATTCGATCTAATTCCGTTGTGTTTTAGCAGCCGTCGCATCCGTGTCGCCTTGAGCTACATTATCGCTTCTGACCACTCGCTTTGACAGATATTTTCCGTCCAGGCTCTACACGGCTTAAGAAAAAAAAACACCTCGCGTGTAGATCGTAAAATGCACGCACTTTAGATACCAAGTATTGTACATCGACAATAAATAATAGCTTATCCCGATAAAATTAGATAAGATTGCGCTGGCGTATTCGTTCCGTATCCTCCCCCTTTTTTTTTTTAGCGAATGTCATTACGCGTTTTGTCTCATCTTTTTCACTGCAAGTCTTTCTTTAGTATTATTATTATTGCTGCGTGAATTACGCGAACCATATCGAGGCACGTCGATATTCCGCCACTTGCCGTTGCTGTGCACGCGCCACCAAATTGCTTCCGACAGTGTGCTTCTGCAGAATTTACTTTGTAATCGCTGTATATTATCAGATTATCAGAAACAATGATATCGACAATAACACTCGCGTCCCGTCGAAGAAACGAAATCCAACGGTCTCCTGCGCGCAGTTGGGGAGGATTCGTGCATATTTTTTCGTCGGCTTACGCAATACCGTGTTGTGTTCCTGCGAATGCGCCGACGAGGGAGGAACTTTCGGAAATGATCGACTTTACCTTCTCACCTGACAGACAGGTCAACGTACATACACGCGCGCGAAACGCTTCTCGCAAGGCGCGCGATTCCCCAGGACGGGAAAGTTGATCTGCATTCCGATCGTGCCAGATCGACCAGTCCCCGTATCGCCTTTGTGAATGGAAAAGGCAGGACCGGTTTTAAAGTCGTATGTGCGCGGAAATCGATCGACGGGTTCATGTATCGAATTTCGAACTATAACCCGATATTCGGTATCTTTGCAATAAAGATAGGCGGAGAAGGGAGGGAGGCTCGTCTCGGCGAAAATTTGCGCGTCGTCCGCAATCGTGCAAATTCGCCTGAATTCGCACGCTTGGTGAGTGCGTGAATTTCAATCAAACAGCGAGCTACTCGACTTTTTTTTTTTCTTTGACAGATAACCTTCGTTTCAACAAACGATCAGCGATGATCGATCATCGTTTAATGAAAGTTATCTATTAAATCTCACCGTTACGCGATAAAGATGTGAACAAATGACTCAACGAATGTGGATCGAAGCGATTCGATCTGCATGACGGTGTAACAGGTGTAACAGTTGGCGCAGCGAAAAATGAGGTTGGCGAGCTGTGTCGTTTGATAAATTCAGCAAAGCGACAATTGCGTTCAACCGTCTCTGTTCTCGAGGATAACAATGCATCAAATTCTTGTTCAGTCTTCTGATAAGCTCGCCGATAACCGCCTGCCGTCGTGTTTCGCTTCATGCAAAGCGGTTATCGCCGCTGCAAAAGCTATTTATAAACTTCCAGAAGCCAAGAAAACGAGCCACGCCACATAACTCGTACAACCGCTTCGCGGAAAAATATTTTGCGAAGCCACTGCCGAATTTACAAAGTTCCACGGTCAACGGTGACTTTGCTTCTCTATCAAAAAAAGAATGTATGATAAGGAAAAGTGACGTAACCGTTCAAAGAGCGTCGATATTCAGGGCAAGAATTATCGGACGCGTATTCTTAATTATACAGTGAATAATTTGAATAATTTTTATCTCTTGATATCTTCGAAGAATCAAGTCATTTCATTAACGACCGGACAAGGACGAAAAGAGTTCACGTTTGAAGGTGCTCGAACATTTAATGAATATTGATGCATTGGCAGAAAAAATGTCTGAAAAAGAAATATAGCGGGCACTCATAACATATCTGCTGAAATATAAATTCTTTTACAAATAGAATAAACAATTGCTTTCATGCAAAGTCACAGATTCAAAAAGAAATGTATATTTTTCTCATTTAAAACAGATTTCTTCTCATAAATAAATACACAAAGACATTCGTATAAGTAGATATGTTATTACATCGAATAAAATTTTGTTTTTTTTTTTTTTTACTTTTTAAATATCTTTTCCGTGTGTCAACGCAATTTCTGTCGGATACATTTTTCCCTTATCTTCATATTTCGAAGATATTCTCAAAATTGATGATAGTTATCGCCTCGCCGTGTGGAAGCTCGTCCGAAAAGAAGCGTGAACGAGTCGATCTCGACGGTGGGGATCTCCGGGACGGAGAGCGCGACGTCGGGACTCCGCCGGGGTTCCGCGTATCTTCGGATATTCCGAACGAATAACAGTACCCGATTCTTTCGCAAATAGCACCGCGGGGTCATTAGGGCGCTATTCTCGGGACGTTTCGCGTATTTCAGTCCGCGCACCGAGAGCAACGTCGCGCATCGATCGCCGGGGAAATCTCGGGCTCGCGTGCCGCGGTGTATAGTCCGCAACACTTTCTGAAAAATTCGCTCATCGATCATCGCGGTCAATTGGCCGTGAAGGTGTCTGTTTCACGTAACTCGCTCGCTCGTCGGAGAGGAGGCCCCGTCGTCATGAAGACGACCGTGTGGACTCGCTTCGGAAATGCACCGATGGGCATCGAAGCGCGCGCGCGTCTCTCGCTGGGATCGAAAGTGCCCCATTACATTCGTTTAGTCTCGCCTTCTCGGTATTGTTGCGGTAATCGCCCTCCCCCCTCCCCTCCCGTCGGCAAAAAAGCCCTCCAGGCATCATTCGTGAGTCGTGTGCACACAATGCGGACACTCGCGAAATATGTATCTCCGAAGTATCGCGACAATCTCGAGCTTCTTCCCGCTTTTACGTCGCTCGATTCCACCTGTTGGCGGCCAATTACCGAATTTGAAGCCGTTATCGGATTTTAACGATTTAATTCTAAAAATGAAGTTTCGTTAATTCAACAATTTCAACGATTTTACAACGAGACGTTCGGTTCTCATTCGAAGAAAAAATGTATGGTAAGGAAAAATGACCGTGTTCGAATCCTGTGGTAAATTCTTTTCGTTCGCGTGACGATGTCAAGACGAAAGTCGGCATTTCTAAAAATGAACGCCACAGTCTTGCTGCGCGCCTTCAATATTGCACGATGCGTCGCGCAAAAGCGGAGCAACCGGTCGGTGTATAATTTACGACACGTCGTAATCCGCGAAGCAGCGGGCAGCTTTCCGTGCGAAATCGATAGTTCGCCCACGATAACCGGACGCGTGAAAATTTCGGCTTCCTTCTGGTATCGTTGCGTTGTGCAACAATGTCTTCCTGATTGCACGTATGGTGCGACGCAGCTTTGAGAACGCGTCTGCGCTTTTGGCCGGTTGGCGCGATTCACGACGCGCCATGTCGGGGTCGATCAATAAAAGTGGTTGTATGAGAGAAAGAGAGAGAGAGAGACTCGCAGAGTCAACTCTCCGCGCGGAGCATCATTTAATCCTCCACGCTTTCCTGTTCTTTCCGTTCGCGTGCCGCGTTTTCTCATCGCTCTCATTAGAGTCGCATCCTTCGCCGGGGAAGCACGCGATCTCGCGCATCTCCGCACGATTTTCCTCGCCAGTCCGTCTCGCGCAGCCTTGGGAAACGCGGGGACATCTGTTGCTCGCCGTTTGCGGTCGTCCTGAGATCTCCGAAAATTCGTGCGATTTACGTGTGATCGAGTGAATCGCGAGGAACGAGGAGCGCGCGCGGATGATATGCGAGACACCGTGGCGGGGATGTCGAGTGCGTTGAGACGGTCTGCAGGTAAAAGTTTCGTGATGAAATAATTTCACGCGTCCGGAATATCGAGCCCCGGCTAATTATCTCGGTGAAGTTGGTTCAGGGATGATCGAATGTTTGAAATACCCACGTTATCAGAAGCGACGCCCGCGCTAACTTTAGCGCTGCGATCGCTCCGAATGTAAGAGAGAGAGAGAGAGAGAGAGAGACTCGTCGGAGTCCGTTAATCTCGCGACTTCAAGTAATCATTATTAGTACGGTTATACAACATTGCTCAGCGTGTTATGTAATATATAATGTGTGTTATGTACCGGCTCGGGAACATCGATTGGTATACAGAGTGAAGCAACTATTACCGCTTTAAATGTCTGCGAAATGTGAGAAGAGAAATTTATCCGACAGAAATTGCATTGATTTACTTTCTAATGGTCATCAGTTCAAACGCCTCTTATAAGTGTAAACTTTCTTCATCGTTAATGAAATATTTTTAGGCACTGCGACTCATTTTTTTCTTCACTTCACCTCACTTATTTAGAAACACCTCACCTTTTTCTCACCTTTCAAGGAAAATGGTAACTCCCCTCGCTTTTTCTCACTCGATATGAGTCCTTTCGAAAATAAAACTCGATCACAAGAAATCATGTTCAATAACTTGCTTCTTTAAAGACAGAGCAAAAAGTTGAAACAAAAAAATAGAACGTAATAATGACTCCGATAACGCATATTCATAAAGCGAAGGACGGTGATTTTATTTTTAGGCTGTTTTTGTCAAATTTGTTAGAAAAACAGACAATGACCGGCATGAGAACCACTGACTGTGTTTTCTTTAAATGATGTAGTGGAATCGATGTCTACGATTTGTCCATCAAACCAGTACGAGTTATTAGCGAACGAACCCCCCCCCCCCCAAAAAAAAANGTGTTTTTTTTTAATGACAGTGGAATCAATTATCTACGATTTATCCACACTTGTCTACCCATAATTCTTGTTTGTCCACCAGAACGAGTTATTAACACCTAAGAAAACTAACAATGATCGTCATGAACATGCCTGTATTTTCTTTAAGTTACATATTATTGAATATTATTCTTAAAAAGTTGACTAACTAATCTATTTCTAACGGAAAATCTGTAAGATTTTTGGTTTCGAAAATTATTATTGTTTGACAAAAATATTTTGGATATCTAAACATTTCGTAAATATATTGCAATGTAGCTTAACTGTGAATTCAAAGATTGTTTTTTATTTTATGAGTTTCTAAATATGTATCTAAGACTAAAATAAATTTTAAATTCTATGTATTGTGTAACTTTTTTATTTCTAAAAATAAAAATAACTTTTTTATTTCTAAAAATTCAAATTTTGCTCTTCATTGACTTCAAAGTCAGTATTTTTAATCTCTTAAAGAAATGGCGTAATAAATAAACAATTTAACTTGTCACGTACAAATTATTTGGAAAAGATTCACTTTTTTTTTCTTAAAGCTGACTTACTATTTTCTTGCTTTCTCAAGAATAAAACTCACTTTCCTCACTATTTCTGACAGGTAAATCGCTTCCACGCCTGTATTTTTTTCTCGGAGATATCCAAGGTGGTGATAGTTACTGCCTCATCCTATATATTGAGAATATGTAAGCTCAAGAAAAATTGAAAAAACTTAATTTCGTGAAACATAAACTTAACTTTAGACGAATAATTTACATACGTTGCAAAACTCTCTTAACAGGCTAACACCGCCGGCAAAGATTAGAACATCGAGAAGTATCCACGATGCAAAAAGATATTCCGCGCGGATCCGTTCCTAAAAATTACCGCACGCCAAAGATGCGGGATGCGCCGACAATGTGCTGCGTGGAAGATAAAAGGGGAAATAAAAGGACGTAATTGAGATTTCGGGTTAAAAGGCAATCGTCGTTTACGTCGTGGGACGTTACGTTACCACGCCTCTTCCTGCGCGGGGGTTAAAAAGCGAGTTCAATGAATGCGTGAATACCGGGACTCGCGCCTCGCCCGTTCACAATAGAATTACCCGCGTTCTAGACTGTCACCTGCCGACAGGTGAGATTATAAATAGCGGAAGATCGATCGCCACTAATGAGATAGTACAACACAATGCACGCGTGGGGATCTAATGCGTCGCTCCGTGGCTCGCTTCGGAGTGACGTGATTTCCTCTCGCGCCGATTCCGCCTTTTATTAGTAAACAAGAATCGCTAATCGCGATGAACGAGATACCAGCTCGATAAGCGGCGGATTTACGTCGGTGTAATTTTGCCGACGCTCGATTCGCCACGTATAATTCTCCACGTCGGCTCCATTGTCGCGAATTTTTCGCGTGTCCGCGCAACATCGGAATTCGAACCCGTTGAAATTCTACCGGCTTCGGTCGCCGTCGACGTGTCGCGTCGATACGCAAATAGACCGTGCGCGAAATGTCGTTCAACGGGAGAAATGCGATGCCGCATCGATTGTCTGGGTGCCGTACCGAGTCGTCGTTGATTACAGTGTGTATACCGCACGCGATGCTACTTCGGTGACTACTTAAGCGCGGCGTAAAATGTGACTTAGATCGTGAAATCGTGAATGATATGCCAAATTAACAATCAGTCAAATATCAATATTAAATCGATATTAAATCAACGGTAAAAGCCAGTGTTAAAAATCAAACTGAAATCCCGGAAGTTGCGTACCTGCATAAAAAACAATATAACATAGGTATCATCCACGTGAGAGAAATATGTTACTTGATGCGCAAATTAGAAAAGAAGATCACGACACGGTAACGAGAATCGCAAGGCCTACCACCGTTGTAATGACTATGATTTACACTTGTAACACTAGTGGAGCACATTTTATATTATACTATTTTATTTTTCCACGAGAGCGCAAGACGCAAATGAGAAGTAGTCTGCGGAGCATCGCTTACACATTGTTCAGGGCTTAACTGTCCGGCCTCTCTGTATTACTTGCCGTGTTATTTCTTCGCTCGGGACACTTGGGTCGACGCGTACGATTTAATAACGAAGTGTTGCTCTGTTGCAGTCCTATGTAGCAACCGGGTGAGCCAAATGACCAAGACCTATAATGATATAGAGGCAGTTACAAGGCTTCTAGAGGAGGTAAGTTCGAGCGGAGGGCGAGAGTTGGTGGAAACCGAGTCCGCGTTGCGCGTCGTGTCGTGTCGTTAAAATTACGTAGAAATCACGATTCGTAATGTTCGTGCATACGAGTATTCATGGGACGTTCGGGACGAGGTGATAAAACGGTAATGGATCGGTAAGCGCCAACTATCGAGCAGTAAAGAACGACTAGACGTCCAAACAACACGTACGTTCAAAAGACTTTTCAACGTCCCTTCATTGGTATGAAATTCGTCTTACTTTAATGTTATCTGTTGCAGTTGTATGATCGGTTTGCAAAGTATAACATATCCCGAGCGGTCAGAATCGTATTCGAGGTTCATTTCGAACATTATCATATATTTGCCATCCGAATGTTCGTAATTTCGGGATGAGTAGATCGTAGGATGAAATCCTTCGGGAAATATCAAAAGTGTATTAAATACATTCGAAATTATCGGACCGGGGTGAGATTGTAGGAAGAAGGTAGGAAAGAAACGAGCGTGTTTTTCTGCGACAGAAAGAAAAAGACTTGGAGTTGACGGCGCGCATCGGTAAGGAACTGCTGACGCACAATCAGAAACTCGAGAGCACGGTGAACGCGTTGGAAACCGAGCTGAAGGAGGCGAACGAGAAGATCACCCAGCTGAACCATGAGCTAATGAAGAAGACGGAGCTGATACAGATATTGACGAACGATGTGGACGAGTCCAGCTCGGAAGCCGGGACGCCCACCGGTCTCCGCGGTATCAACTTGGACCTGCTGCAGAGGAAGATCAGCACCCTGGAGGACGAGAACAAGCAGCTGCGCAGCGAGTTCGCCAAGTTGGCCCACGACGCCGACGATTCCGAGGAGCAGGAAGCACGCCTCGTGAAGGACATTACAGCGCAATTAGGTACGGTGTGTTCCTCCCGTCTTGAGGTAAGGCTATTTAAATAACCGGCCGGCCTCGGGGAGGAAAGGAGGTAAATCGCCTTCTGAGTGACTAAGAAGTATATTAAAATCGCCGGACCGTTCGAAAGTTCGGGGAATATTCGCGGGTATTTTTTCACGTGCATTGATATCGCAGCAAGTGCCAACATGGAGGTGGACGGCATCGCGGAGGAGCTGGGCCGTCAGAAGGAGGAGAACCGGCTGCAGCACGAGCAGATAGTCAGTCTGACGGCGAAACTGGCCGAGACCGAACTCAGGCTCGCCCAACTGATGGCGGAGCACGACGAGGTGGGGGCGACTCTAGTCATCACCAGGGATAATCAAAACACGCTCGCCAGCGAACTGGCCGAATTCAAGGAGCGATACGCGGAGGTGCGTGGTTCGGTAGCGTGTCGTCTAGGAGGAAGGAAGGGAAGAAACGGGCGGAAGCGATTCTTCCTTCTGAAGGCTCGCGAATCGTACACCGCGATGCAAATCAAGAGAAACCCGAGGATTAACGCGTTAACTGCCACGCGCATTTCGGGAGGAAATCTCCGTCATGCCACGCGCGCTGCTCAGAAGTGCGCTGGTATAGCAATGCCAAGCGCAATAAAGCTTCAATAAAATCCATTACAATTTTTTGATAAGAAATATTTAAGTACATTAATGATACGATCGTGAAATTACTTAGAATTTATTGAAACTATGTAATTTTTTTCCGTTTTATATCGTATTTTATACTGTCAGTCACCGGTGACTGACGCGGCCCGAACGGAAAGTTCAGTGTCGATCTGAACAGTTTCAGTTAAGATCTGAACGATCTCGTTCTGCATATATACGGCTAAAAGTGAAGCGCGCCAGTGTTATCACATTGTTTGTACGTGTTCAGGTGGTGAATTTGCTGGCCGAAACGCAGGAGCAGTTGCGAAAGCAGAGGAAACGCGGGATGCCGACTGTGCGCGGCGGCTCCCTGTTCCCGTCGATGGGCGCGGCCCCCCAGCCGGACTCCATCGCTTCGGAGTTGGAATCGTCCCTTTATTCGGAATTCAGCGTTGACTCTGGAATCAGTGGCGACAGGATGTACGTTGGATGGAGTTCCCTTGAAATCACACCCCGTTCCACTCCGACCTCTGCGGAAACGGTCTAGCGATGAAAGGGAGAAAAAAGACTCCAAGGATTCGTTCAGCGGAACGAATTTATTTAACAACCGTTGGAGGTTCCCTTTGACGAGATCGAATTATTCTTCTGGATCTAAGAGAATAATCCGATCTCGGCTCGGAAAATTCCTTTAGATTTACCTACCGGTCGGCCTTAGCGTCCGTAAAACGAAAGCGATGCGGTGAAAATCAATGAATTAACTCTGTGTCGCAGACCGACGTACAAGAAAGTGTTCGAGACGGTGCGCACCGCGTCGCGGGCGTCCCACGTGACGGGTATGGATCCCAACCAGTTCCCCAGGATAGGATCGATGACGACGTCCACGTTGTCCAGCAGTTCCGCCGGGCCGCGTATGAGCTGCGGGCAGGTGCGGCCCCAGGTGTCGACGTACCCCAGTTTGGACTCCACCGGGCACAGCGACAGCGAGGGGTCTCTCCTCACGGAGTCGGAGGATTATCCGTACGTATCCGTTCCACTCCCCTCTTCGAGGCTCGCGAATCCTCGAGTAGAGAATCTTCAGCTCGTCCTCCCGGCGTGTTTCAGAGGGCCACAGCGCACCGGAGTGCCCGGTGCCCCCGGTGCGGCGGACCTGGAAGCCGCCCTTCGTCGTCTGACGCCGGCGGAGGTGTTGGCGAGGCGCGCGTGCCTCAGCACGGGCGCCGGCTACAACTACGACTACGACGGCGGCGTGCACTCCCCGCCGACGTTCCTGCCCTTCGGCTGTCGCACCCCCGACAGCATCATGTCGACCGGCAGCAGCGGCAACCTGAGCGGCTTCAGCGGCAACACCTGGCGCATACCGGAAAAATTGCAGATAGTCAAGCCGATGGAGGGATCCCAGACGTTGCATCACTGGTCGCAGTTGGCGACGCCGACACTGGGTGGTCTGTTGGAGGACCGGCCAGGCGTGAAGACCAGGGGCGGCCGTGGTCTCGAGGACCTCGGCCTCGTCACGTTCACCCTGAGCGACCTGGAGGAGGACGAGGAGTACACGAACCCGGGCAAGCTGTTCCAGAACACCGGCTCCGTCTACACGTACACGAACAGCACGGTGCTGCACCCGGACGACCACACCAGCGTGACGCCGAGCGTCGCCGGCAGCCGCGTCGCCACCGCGCCCAACAGCGGCATGAACTCCGGCATGAGCACGCCCCGCACCCTCAGCCGTCGCAACTCGACCTCGACCTTCTCCACCACGCTCGGCCTGGCGAAGATGCTGAACGAGAGGGGCATCAAAGCGGTGACGCCGTCGTGCGTCGGCACCCCCTCGTGTCTGGCGACGCCCACCGGCGAGCGGAACTTCACGCCGACCGCCACGCCGTGCAACAGCCCGGACGCGAGCCCGCCGCCTACGCGCTCGACCTCGCCGCCGCCGGAAGCCGCCAGCGGCAGCCTGTCGCTGGGGCTGTTCAGCAGCGGAGCGGAGCTGCTGAAGCGCACCTTCGGCCACGAGCCACCGGCAGCCGGCCAGTCGAAGAAGAAGCGGCCGAAGCCGGCGCTCTCCCGCTCCGACAAGAAGGCTCTCACGGGCTTCCGGCTGGTGGAGAAGCTGGAGAGGATCGGGATCGACACGATCATGGCCACCACGATCTCCTCGATCTCGCCGTTGGCGCTCCACGGCGCTCTCTACACGCGCCGCCTGACCGAGAGCCCGATGGCGCAGCTGACTTTTCTCAAGACCTCGATGTCCTCCAGTATCAGCCAAGAGAAGCTAACGTCCCCCTCGTCTTCGGCGTCCTCGGCCAGCGGCGAGTTCCCGTCGGGCAAGCCCCCGCTGCCGGGCAAACGACCCGGCAAGGAGGCGCCGGAGACCAATGCATTTAACTCGAGAACCTCCGGTCGACAACGACGATCGGGCGCGAGGGCGACCAGGCCCGACCTCGGCCAGGTCAAGCCGCCCGCTCCGACGCCCGTCACTAAAGAATCCGCCGCCCAGTCGGCGCTGGGCACGATAAGCTCGCTTCTATTCGGTCGCAAGGGCGGCTTGTTGTGAAGACTTCGTAGTATCTGCTATCCGAAGGAGGCCGCCCTCGGTATCTCGGTGAAAATTCATTTTCGATGCGCGTTTTCGCGAAAGCCCTCTTTTTTTTTTTTTTTTTTTTTTCTCCAACTNTCTCACCACCGGGGGTGACCGGTCGGAGTGTCGTCGCGCTTATCCGTGTTCCTCCGCGATTTCTCAGCGGAACAAGCGGATCATCGTCGTGAAAACGGCCCGAAGGTGTCCGGATATACGCTCTTCGCGAGTATCGAGACACTCGGGCTCGGTTTATACGGTTTATCGGCTTGCCGAACATAGCCGCACTGCATAAAGCCCACGTACACCGGAACGTAAAATCATTATATCTTAGATTTTGTCACGAAAAGAGGGGGAAAGGACGCGATGAATCGGGGGCGAAATTAATGCTGGAGCGTGGGGAGGGTTTTTTTTTATATAGTTTGTGATTTTGTACGAAGGAAATAAAATAAAAAAAACCGAGCGGAGATCAGAGAAGGGATGGTACTCTCAAGTCTTCAGTCTGGTAGCGATCGTGTTGAGACACATATATTCGTATATATATTTCTGATAATAGGAGCAAAGAGGTACGCAAAACGAATCAAGGGGGAAGAAACTGTAACGGCAGGGTAGTTAGTGAGATCAATAATCACATACTCGAAATTCGCAGCTAACAACGACCGGGGGGGGGGG